GAGACAATACAGCAACAATACAGTTCAATACAAGAGGGATATTCTTTTTGAGTTTGTAATTTTGTTATTTATTTTAAATAAATGTTATGTGCAGCAGTTCTGCTTCGGACATACACTATATTGCCATAAGTATTGGTCGCCTGCCTTTCCACACACATGACCTTTAATGGCCCCCCCAGTCTTAGTCCGTAGGGTTCAATATTGAGTTGGCCCCGCCCTTTGCAGCTATAACAGCTTCAACTCTTCTGGGAAGGCCGTCCACAAGGTTTAGGAGGGTGTCTATGGGAAGGTTGGACCATTCCTCCAGAAGCACATTTGTCAGGTCAGGCACTGATGTCGGGGGAGGAGGCCTGGCTCGCAGTCTCCGCTCTAATTCAACCCAAAGGTGTTCTATGGGGTTGAGGTCAGGACTCTGTGCAGGACAGTCAAGTTCCTCCACCCCAAACTGGCTCCTCCATGTCTTTATGGACCTTGCTTTGTGCACTGGTGGGCAGTCATGTTGGAACAGGAAGGGGCCATCCCCAAACTCTTCCCACAAAGTTGGGAGCATGAAATTGTCCAAAATGCCTTGGTATGCCGAGCCCCTTAGAGTACATTCACTGGAACTAGGGGGCCAAGCCCAACCCCTGAAAAACAACCCCACACCATAATCCCCCCTCCACCAAACCTTACACTTGGCACAATGCAGTCAGGCAAGTACCGTTCTCCTGGCAACCGCCAAACCCAGACACGTCCATCGGATTGCCAGACAGAGAAGCATGATTGGTCACTCCAGAGAACACATCTCCACTGCTCTAGAGTCCAGTGGCGGCGTGCTTTACACCACGGCATCTGACTCTTTGCATTGCACTTGGTGATGGAAGGCTTGGATGCAGCTGCTCGGCCATGGAAACCCATTCCATGAAGCTCTCTACGCACTGTTGTTGGGCTCATCTGAAGGCCACACCAAGTTTGGAGGTCTTTAGCTATTGACTCTGCAGACAGTTGGTGACTTCTGCGCACTGTGTGCTTCAGCATGCGCTGACCCCGCCCTGTCATGTGACGTGGCCTACCACTTGGTGGCTGAGTTGCTGTTGTTCCCAGTTGCTTCCACTTTGTTATAATCCCACTAACAGTTGAGCGTGGAATATTTAGTAGCCAGGAAATGTCACGGATAGACTTATTGCACAGGTGGCAACCTATCACGGGACCACGCTTGGAGTCACTGAGCTCCTGAGAGCGACCCATTCTTTCTCCAATGTTTGTAGAAGCAGTCTGCATGCCTAGGGGATGATTGTATACACCTGTGTCCGTGGAGGGGATTGGAACACCTGAATCCAGTGATTTGGAGGGGGGCCCAATACTTTTGGCTCCAGAGAAGGGGGTCTGAATACTTTTTGGCAATATTGTATATATATATTATTATTTGTTTTGGAGTTATTGCGTTAATATAAAATAAATTAGGTTTATATAAAAAATAAATGTATACATTTAAAATACATATATATATATAAAAAAGAAAATTGTAACATGCAACATTATTTTTTTTGTAACAGGCATAACTCTTTTAGTCCTACCATGGATTAGATCATATGTTCAGAGTTATTGTGATGACTGAGCATGCTGAGATTTGTAGTCCCACAAAAGTCAGAACACAACTCCACTTGAGCGATATATATAGACTAGCGAGAGAAGTGTCACTTTTATATCACACACACACATTATGTGTGTGTGTGTGTATGTGTGTGTGTATATATATATATATATATATATATATATATATATATATATATATATATATATAAAAATTATTATTATTTACTTATTTATTTTTAAGGAACACTATTGCTTATTTGTATATTGTAAATATTTTTATAAATAAAGAAGATGTAAACTTTTGGAAGAAAAAAAAAAAAAGGTGTGTGACAGTCTTAAATAATTCACTATATATCTAATATATATAGGGACTATATAGATATAAAATAATGTAATAGCATAATAAAATATATATTTTTTTATATTATATTATATATATATATATATATATATATATATATATATATATATATATATATATATATATAAAATATAAAAAAAAAAAAATATATATATATATATATATATATATATATATATATATAGATATAGATATAAAAAAATATATAAATTCATCAATTACATAGAATATAAAGTTTTTGATATAATTTTTTTATATATTATAAAAAATGAAAAAAACAAAAATATAAAACAAAAAATATTAAACGCATTTAAAAAAATATATATTTAAAAAAACTTGCAACATATTTTTTTTTTTTTGTGTACATACATTCCCCAATCATCCTTTTCCTACCATGGGTTCAATAAAATTTTGAGTTATTCTGATGTTAAAGCATGCTGGGATTTGTAGTCCCACGGCATTCAGAACCCCACTTGGGTGATATATATATATATATATATATATATATATATATAAAGGACAGCGGGATATCACTGAGGAAGAATAATTCATACATTACATAAAATAGATCATTATAGTTTTTTTTTGGGGTTTTTATATATTATTATGAATATATGCTATTTGTATATTATTTTTAATATATTTGTTATTTTTTTTATATTATTATGAATATATATATATATATACACACCTATATATTATATATATATATAGCAGATAACACATTGATGCAGTGTATACATGACCCCCTCCCCCCTTAATAATTGAAAGCCCCCATTGGTGGAATCACCCGCAAGCCCCCCACGTATGACGTCAAAGCCCCTCCCCCCCCACTCTCACCCAGATAATGAGGCTTTCGCACAGCTCGTTCTCCTTGCCGGCCATCTCTCCCCCGGTTACCCGTTCCTTTTCCTCCTGATCCGGCTGACCTCACCTGGGAACAGGGAAGGAAGGAGGAGGAGCACACAGGGACAGTCTGCCGCTTACGCCTTTTTTCCTGGCTCCGACGTAAGCTTCCTGAGCCTGAATGGGAGCTACGCCGTCGGAGCAGCGTAAGTCTGCTCTGTGAATAGAACCCTGACACACGCCCCCTCTATCGCTCCGCGCTCTAGCCACTCCTGCAGCGGATGACAGGTGGAGGGCACGCCCCCAAGCCTGCAGCAGGTGACTGTGCGAGACTCGGAGCTAATCATAACGCGTACAGCGCGGGGCGAGCCAATCCACTTTGAGCAAGGGGGAGGTTCCTTGCGCGGGATTGGTGTGCAGGAGGCTGTAGGCGGGACACGCTTTGAAAGGCCGTCTTTTGAGACTTGAGTGACGGCTTTTTCTGTCACTTGTGAGGAGAAGGTGGAGCTGGAGAACGTGTCTTGTTGACAATAGCAACCCCTCAGATTTTCAGTCAGTTGTCATACAGGTTTCTGACTGGTTGCTATGGACCTGTTCTGTCAGAACACTTTTCATACATAAGCCCCTCTGGAAGGATGTTCATCAAAGTTTCACCAGAAAATGATGATCTGTATTATTGTCATATATATGTGTGCCGGCTGTAACCTGACACAGGCAAGGCAGTGAGGGATTTCAGCCAATCCTGTCTCCTCTCAGACAGTAATAGAGAGAGAGCCAATCAGGAGATCTATTAACCACTTCCTGTCCGGCCCATGTATATAAACGGCCGGGACGGGGGCAGTGCAGGAACGGGTTGCCGTTCATAAACGGTGCCCGCCATTTTGGACACAATGGAGCACCGATCGCTGTACGGGACCTCTGTGTGAGATCGCGATCATGTGATCACTGATTGGCCAATCAGTGATCACATGAATAGTAGTAAGCAACATGTCACTTCTGACCAGGGGGCGGACTGACCATTTGGGAACTCGGGCACTGCCTGAGGGCCCTGGGTCAGTAGGGGGCCCCATGAGATGCTCCTGGTACCTTTCTTAGGCTTTTTTGGGTGTGGTTTGGGCAAGGACACAGGGGCCCCGTGATCCCTTATTGCCCGGGGGCCCCATGAGTTGCCAGTCCGCCCCTGCTTCTGACATCATTGCTTACTACGTGTGAAATCTGTGAAGGATCACAGAGATCACATGGTACAGGGCTATTCACAACAGCCTTGTACCATGTGACAAGTTGTGACCAATCACAGCCCACACAGTATTTCTCAATGGCTGCAAGAATGCAGCTAGAGCAGTGGTTCTTAACCTTGTTGGAGGTACTGAACCCCACCAGTTTCATATGCGCATTCACCGAACCCTTCTTAATTGGAAAAATAAAAATATGATTTTTAAAATTCAAAACATAGGTATATATTTATACATAGGTGCACAAAATGAACAAAACCATTAAGAACAAAGAACAAAACCATTAAAACATGATTTTCACACAAAAACAAAAACATAATAATGAATATTTACTGCACGAATCATATGAGTCGGGTGTGGGTCTTCACCTCCGTCGAACCCCCGAGACTGACTCACCGAACCCCTGGGGTTCGATCGAACCCAGGTTAAGAACCACTGAGCTAGAGAGAAGGAGAAATAATAAATTTTACAGCCTTTATGGGTGTAAAAGCAATCAGTGTAAAAAAAAAAAAAAAAAAATCACCCCTCAAAAGTAGTACAGTGTCGCTATAGTGACTGCTAGGGTGACAGTATGTTAAAAAAAAAACATAAATAATAATACAAAAAAAAATAAAAATGTACAAAAATGTTTTTGAAAAATTATACTTTTTGGTTATAAACTAATTTGTTTTTTTTTTAACTAAAAAGATAACTGAATAAATTTTGACCAAGATTTATGAAGAAAGATTATTTATTTGCAAAATTTTATAAGAAATACACTTTTTTACAAAATGTTTGGGCTTTTTCATTTATATAGTAAAAAATAAAAATCTCAGTGGTGAATCAATACCACCAATATAATGTTTTATCTGTCTAAAAAAAATGCAAAAAAATTCATATGGGTGTTGCATGACCGCGCAATTGTCATTCAAAGTGTGACAGCGCTGAAAGCTGAAAATTGCCCTGGCCAGGAAGGGGGTGAAAGTGTCCCGACTGGAAGGGGGGAAAAGTGTCCGGACTGGAAGGGGGGAAAAGTGTCTGGACTGGAAGGGGGGAAAAGTGTCTGGAGTGGAAGGGGGGGAAAGTGTCCGGAGTGGAAGGGGGTGAAAACTGGAAGGGGGAAAGTCCGGAGTGGAAGGGGGGAAAGTGTCCGGAACTGGAAGGGGGGGAAAGTGTCCGGAGTGGAAGGGGGTGAAAGTGTCCGGAGGGTGGAAAGTGTCCGGGGGAAGGGGGGAAAGTGCCCGGAGTGGAAGGGGGTGAAAGTGTCCGGACTGGAAGGGGGGAAAGTGTCCGGACTGGAAGGGGGTGAAAGTGTCCGGACTGGAAGGGGTGAAAGTGTCCGGACTGGAAGGGGGGGAAAGTGTCCAGACTTGAAGTGGGAGTTCATGCCGTGTACCCCTTTAAGCCGGCACCTCCCGGATTTTAAGGGTTCCAGAAGCTGGGAGGCGGGGTTTAGGGTCATGTGACCGCCGTGAAGCGCCGTTGCCTGGCCGCCATCTGGTCATAGGCCGGGTGGCAACTGGTTAAAAAGTCCAAACATTTTTTTAAAAAGTGTTTTTCTTATAATATCTTGCAAAATATATAATATTTCATCATAAATCTTGGCCAAAATGTATTCAGTTATTTTTTTTTAGTAAAAAAAAAATAACCCAAATTAGTTTATAACAAAAAATTATAATTAAAGAAAAAAAAGTTACATTTTTATTTTTTTTTTTATATTATTATTTATGTTTTCTTTTTTTTTTTTTTACATACTGTCACACTAACAGTACATTGTGGGGGGTGATGAAGATTTTTTTTTTTTTTTTACACTGATTGCTTTTATACCCATAAAGGCTGTAAAAGCAATAATTTCTCCTTCTCTCTGGCTGCATTCCTTCAACCATTGAGAGATACTGTGAGAGCTGTGATTGGTCACAGCTTGTCACATGGTACAAGGCTATTGTGAACAGCCCTGTACCATGTGACCTCTGTGATCATTCACAGATTTCACACGTAGTAAGCAAGGATGTCAGAAGTGACATCCTTGCTTACTACTTTGCATGTGATCACTGATTGGCCATACACTGATCACATGATTGGGACCTCGCACAGAGGTCCCGTATGACGACTGGTGCTGCACTGTGTCCGGAGGACACAGCGGGCACCGGATCGCGGTGCTGCGCGCTCCCAGGGAGCACGCACAAGCAGGGGGTGGAGAGGCCGTTTATAAACAGTCACCCAACCCTGCATTGCCACCGTCTGGCTGTTTATATACATGGGCCGGATGGGAAGTGGTTAAGCATCAGTTGGGCGCAGTGTTTGCTTATTGGACTTGTGGTGTCGGGGATTAAACGGGAGAAGTCTGACACAACAGAGAGTCATTCTTCTGCTCTCCTCCTGCTTGGAGCCAAATTTTTGTAGATGAGTTAAACCCACTTTGAGGTCGCCATTTAAGTGTCCTTGCACCTACACTATTGCCTGGTGTGTCATTTGGGGCTGAGACAGTTCTTGGGGTTGAGAGGCAGAGTGGCGGAGTGAACAAACTTAAGCAGCCCCTTCGGGGGTATCGCTACATGTGGGGGCTCGTCCGGGGTCATTTCCAGCACTCTGCAATCAACTCTTAACCACTTGCCCTCCTGAGGATTTACCCCCCTTAATGACCACGCCTCTTTTTGCTACTCGGCGCTGCACTAATTCAACTGATAATTGCGCGGTCATGCAATGCTGCACCCAAACAAAATTTATGTCCTTTTTTTCACACAAATAGCGCTTTCTTTCGGTGTAATTTGATCACCTGTGCGCTTTTTATTTTTCACGCTATGAACAAAAAGAGGCCAAAAATTTTGAAGAAAAGCAATATTTTTTACTTTCAGCTATAAAAAATATATAGTAAACTCAAAGTTGGTTATAAATTTAGGCCAAAATGTATTCTGCTCCATGTTTTTGGTAAAAAAAAATCCCAATAAGTGTATATTGATTGCTTTGTGTGGAAGTTATAGCGTCTACAAACTATGGTATAAATACTGCAATTTACGCCATTTTATTGCTATACAGCGCTGCGCTAGTTTAACGGACAATTGCGTGGTCATGCAATACGGTACATAAATTAAATTTACATCCTTTTTTTTCCCACAAATTGAGCTTTCTTTCGGTGGTATTTGATCGCCTGTGCAGTGGTATTTGATTCGCCTGTGTGGTTTTTATTTTTTTGCTATAAAACATGTCCAGTAAAAAAAAAAAACATGGTCACTCAGGAAAAGTCTGCCATCTAGCTGCTCTGATGAAGTGCTATACTCAGGAAAAGTCTGCCATCTAGCGGCTGTTAGGAGTACTACACTTAGGAAAAGTCCCACATCTGGAACATTAGGAAGAGTTTTCTGATCCAATTTTTTTGATTGAAAAATATACTTTATTACAGAAGTATAAAAAAACATGATACTCGTTATCGGGGTACATCTCACCCTATACTGCGACGCAGCGCACCACATTGCAATATAGTTCCAGGCATACGATAAATACATTCAATAAATACATTCACTGATGCCTGACGTGATGTGCGTGGCGAACCAATCCCCAGACCAACACGTCATGCATAACGCCGCTTACCCCGAGACCATAGCACGCTTAGAAAACATTTCCTACAATTACAAATCATTCAAGATACGATTAGTACAATTTACAATAAGCATCGAGTGTGTGGGGGTGGGGAGGGGAAACAAGGGGTCACAGGCCCGAAGCTTTATTGAAGGGACAAAGACACGCAAGGGGGAGTAGGGGGAAGGGGAGATCTTCAGACGTCCTCTTCCTCCTTAAAGTCCATCAAGGTATAGTCCCTGAGCAGACTGAGGATCAGTCTGCGGCAGTCCTCAATGGACATCCTCTCCCGCTGGTGGATGAGGTACTTCCTGGCGCACCATAAAGCGTCCTTAAAACAACACAGCACCCACCAGGTGCTGTCAATGTCCTCCAGGGAAAAAGTTCCACAGAAAAGTCTGTTCAACACCCCAAAGTGTGTGATGGCTGTCTGTGGCACAAAGTCCTTGAGTTCAGGTTCCAGGGCCCCCAACAGGTCCTGAGCAAAAAAGCACTCCCAGAAAACGTGATGAGCCGTTTCCTCGTGGATGATGCAGAAGGGGCAGTGCCTGTATCTGCTCAGGTTCCTGGCATGCATAAATGTCCTGAGAGGCAACCCCCCTTGGATTGCCATCCATCCATGCCAGGTCCTTGTGCCTGTTGGTGAGGATGTTTGAAGAAACATTCCTCCAGACCACCTTGCAGGTGTCTGAAGGCAAGCCTGGAACCGACTCCGAAAATAAAATGTCACTTGCTCGGATGAGCTTGTAGATTATCTTCGGATTTTCCACAAGTCAGGCTTGACTCCCTGTAGCCCCTGCTCCTTGAGGATAAACTTGAAGGTATGAGGATGCAGGTAGTACCAAAGAGTTTTCTGATTTCTGGTTTGAAACTTAGGGAGAGCAATGTATCCTCCAGCAAAAATTAGCTATTTCTTTCTTGACAGTTCTTGACTTTACAGCTGAAACCTATTTCTCCCCTTTCTAAATGGAAACTTTTTTGTTGCACATTAGGAAATAGAGTGTTCTCTGATCCAATTGCAAAGGACCATAGTTAACCTAATTTTCATACTAATTTTTTTCTGTTTGGCTCAGCCCTCAAAAAGTGTGGGATTACTCAAATGTATGCAAATTTGCACTCAGGAAAAGTGGTTAGGAGGAGTACTACACTCAGGAAAAGTCTGCCATCTATTGGCTGAGATGAAAGTACTACCTGCAGGAAAAGTGTGACATCTAGTGGCTGTGATGAAGTGCTACACTCAGGAAAGTGTGACATCTAGTGGCTGTGAGGAGTACTACACTCAGGAAAAGTCTGCCATCTAGTGGCTGTGAGGAGTACTACACTCAGGAAAAGTCTGCCATCTAATGGCTGTGAGGAGTACTACACTCAGGAAAAGTCTGCTATCTATTGGCTAAGATGAAGTACTACCTGCAGGAAAAGTGTGACATCTAGTTGCTGCAATGAAGTGCTACACTCAGGAAAGTGTGACATCTAGTGGCTGTGAGGAGTACTACACTCAGGAAAAGTCTGCCATCTAGTGTCCTTGAAGAGTACTACACTCAGGAAAAGTCTGCCATCTAATGGCTGCGAGGAGTACTACACTCAGGAAAAGTCTGCCATCTAATGGCTGCGAGGAGTACTACACTCAGGAAAAGTCTGTCATCTATTGGCTGCGAGGAGTACTACACTCAGGAAAAGTCTGCCATCTAGTGGCTGCGATGAAGTGCTATAATCAGGAGAAGTCTGCCATCTATTGGCTGTGAGGAGTATTACACTCAGGAAAAGTCTGACATCTGGAACATTAGGGAGAGTGTTCTAATCCAGTTTTATTTATTTATTTTTTTTAAGTCCGCGAACGTGCGAAAAACGAAAACCCGTAAGTGAACAAAAAATGTGCTAGTGCAAAACGAAGACAAAAAGTGCACTTAGGGGTGTGGTTTGTCCACCCCCCAAAGGGGTAGGATCTCTACCCTGATCCCCCGGGGCACGAAGCTCCTGATAGGGACTAAGGTTCGCATGTGGTCCTCTTAGCCAAAAGGCCTTGTGGACTTCTTTCTTTGTGGCTAGCCTAAGCCAGCCACCAAGTGCTTGGAAAGGGGGCTCTCCCGAAAAGAAAAACCCCCTAGGGACAGGTGAGGAATGAAGCAAAAGGCCGCACATCCTCCCCCTAGACTTCAGGGTAGGCCTGAGGACCCACACCCTACCATCCTGTGAGAAAAAAAAAACACGCACAAAAGTGAAAAAGTGACAAACGTGGGAGGTAAAAATGAATTAAATAAATAAGTGGCCGTGCAATTGTGCACTGGCTGGGCCCTGAGGCCTGTAGCAAAAAAACTGCCCTGGACTTAGCCAAAAGGCCCAGCCCTAAAAGGCGCAGTGCAGGAAGAGTGTTAGAAACAGTGACCATGTGCACTTTTCACACATTGGGGTCCCACACCCAAGTGTTACTAAGAGCACCCCTGAGGCGACCACTCTCAGGGGGCACTGGTTCGCGGACTTTCTGCCTCCCCGATCCCTGGCCAGACAAGGTAGATCCATTCACACCAGGAGGAACTGGGCCCCTCCGGTTTTCCAGAGGGAGTTACTCCCGGGCCCCAGCAGCATGTGGGCGCCTCGGTTTCTGTTCCAACTTGTACTAACCATCAGGACCCCCATCCTACCAGCAGGGGTACTGTACAACCGATCATCCCTGCAAGCAGGAATGATGGTGGAGCACCCCTACTGGACACTGATAAGAACAGATTTTTTTTTCCATCAGTTACGACTGCGTTAAAACCACCATAATATACCTTCATCAACCAAAGGTCTAGGGTCGCAGTTATCACATCATTTTGGAAAATAAGAACCACGCAAACCTACCTCAATAAACAATTAACTGACTCCATTCCTCCACCTTCCACAACTTATCTGCCTCCATTCTCCCAACTCTATACATGTCAAACATGTAGGCAGTATATAGCCTAGCTAGTATCAGCTTGACTACA